TGAGCCGTCCCGACAGTACTCAATGATGAGGACTGTATGTACTCATATATTCATGCAGCACCGCAGCGCTTCATACCAATCCCTTCACTTCATATTGTACTTCGCAAATGAAGCGATACGAGCATCAGCATCGGTCGGACATTTGTGGGCGGGCGGGCGCGGTGGGCGTCCGGGTCGGTGTGTTGCAGTGATAGGGCGCTACAAGGGTACCTCCTTCGGAAACGGCGCTACGCAGCGCCAGCTCGAGGGAGCTGCCTTAAACTAACTCGCATATGCATTTTTGTTTCTCAACCGCGCTATCTGCGACTTTGCAGTGGGAAATATGCTCTTAAAAAGGGTAAGCTCGTGGATAGGCTCACTTGTAGCCCCAACTTCAGCAACTCAAAGAAACCTCATACCTACTAAGTGTACATATTGGAGCAGTGTATAACCACCTCCTTGGCAGATTAGCTACTTTTCTTCATACCCCATTTGTGCCTTTTTGAGCTTATTTATCTATTTTATTCAGAGTGTATGAAAAAGCACGTGTTATAGAAAGATCCTGTCAGTGACTACCTAACTTGATTTGGATTGAGTACGAGTGAGCAGAATTTTGAAGCGGAAGTGGTGTAGTGACAAGCGGCGCGCTTACCAGTCGAGTGGTCCTGGGTTCAAATCCCGGGTCGACTCCCGCCCAACCAAGCCTTCTACCCTCCGGGGACGGTAAATTGGTACCAGATTCGTCTGGGAGGATAAAACACTGACTTGTACATCGGCTGGCCCCCAAAGTCATTGTATAGGCCACATCGATTCAATAAGCTTCTACGAGTTCGAATGGAAAACGAAGGCGTGCCGCATCCCACAAGGGGTTGATCTCATTGGCGAAGACTTTGAACCTTTCATCCTTGAACGTGATCTGAAGCAATTGTAGATCGCGATGCAGCGTTATCTTCGCAACTTTTTATAGTTTTTTGAACAATAATCACGCTATCGCTACTATCAGCTACTATGGGCTGACTTACTGACAGCTATCAGAAGTAAAAGAATACTGAGTAGAAGAAATCGATCCCAGCTGTGCTCTATGCGTCCAGACAAGAAAGGGGAAGGCAAAAGCGGCGTGGCTGCGAGGTCCCAGACGTAAAAGAGGCAGGGGCGTACACATGAGATAGAACAGTCCGCACGAGTATACGCAGCAGTCGCTGACTTATACCGCTGGTAGTCCCGCAATGCACAGTTGATATTCAAGGGTGAAATCTCAGCAGCCACGGAACATTACAGGGATAAGGAAAGTTTCTTCCTCAACGAGATACCTTCTCACCCTACCGCCAAAGACCACATCTCCCATGTTGATGCTGCAACCAAGACGTGCACTGGAGAAGCTGAAAGGGTCTACTCAAATGCCCATAATTTCAGCGTGCCCTGCACGCGCTGGAAGATGAGCATTTAGATTCTTTTTACAAGGCTGCAGACAAAAACGGACGATGCAGACTCCTCCGGAGTGCGCCACGCACTCTTCCATCAGAAAATTGAGGACGTACTTGTTCCTTTGTTGGGCCCATACGAATGAAATACGGGTCATTCGATGCTTAGCTATTGTTGGTATCCTGTATACAACCCAGGCCAACCAAGTCTTCTACCTTTGGGACGAGAAATCGCTACGCTTGGTAGATAGTAAAATAAGTACGGACCTCTTGTCTCCCTTTCTTCTATAGAGTGATGACCGGGCTCCATGCATTCGCTCTGTATGGCTTAAATTGATGAGCTCAAACTTGTATTTGGAGGGGACGGGGGGGGTGCCCCCTCACCTTGTCAGTGTTCAGTTAACTTGTTGGTGAGAGCGGATGTGATTGTACCACGTGTATCCGTAGTAAACCCCAATATCATAGCCAGTTACCGCTTTACGAGAGTTATGGAGTGCGACCTTGCCGAGAACAGGGAACCGGATGAGGAAAAATGCGTCCACCTACAAAAAAAACCAAAAGGAAGCGCCCCAAGACACGATTGTAAATTACAACTTAGTAATAACTGTTGAACTTCGAAGAACAAGTCCATGGAAAATTATATTCCACCGTTTCAAATCGACGACGCTAGATCCTCACAATTCATAGCATTTCATTCTTGGTCAGGAGAAGTATTACTGAGGGCATTTGCACCCCTAGGGAAGGGGGGGGGTGGGGTGGTGTGAGGAGCATTCAAGGGAATAAAACTGCTGCAAAACTGAGATTGCGTCGTTTCAACAGAATTACCGCGCTTGAAATTGGCTCACACCTCGCAGCTCTCCCCCTTAGGCTTAGGCAAACACCCTCATGTCCAAGATGGTAATCTGACAAGGAGTTCTTCTCCCCCCCCCCTTCGCCAGTTATTGACGCCACACTGAGTTTTGTACAATGCTCATGGGGTGTGTCCAATGCTCTGAGAAACTATTGCCTGTCCATCTTGTTGACTACAAAAAGTGGTGTTTTCCAAAGAACTCTTATTATCAGGCCCTCCACGCCTCCACTGAAAGGGTAAAGAGCAAAGTGGCGTAGTGTGCCTCGAAATCCCTTCTACGAATCTGGGAAAGCTGGTAAAAGCAGCTGGAAGACGAAAACTCAGGAAGAAGGTAGGATAGAGGA